GTGGCCCTGAGATCTTTGCGACAGCCCGAGCTTTAGTAGCACCCCAGCCAGTCCACACAATTCCTTGGGATGTCCTGAAGGAAAAGTTAAGAGGCCACTATTCTCTGGTTCCGTCCCGCATAGCCCGCCGTTTCAAATTAAGGCAGATACTACAAGAGGAGGGAGAACCAATTAACCGATATGTGGCTCGCCTCAGGACTGCTGCTCTTGACTGCAAATTCAGGGAGTTAGAGGATGCCTTGCTGGAACAATTAGTTTGTAGGGTGCGTGATATCGATTTTAAAAAAAGGCTCTTGGCAAAGAAGAGCTTAGACCTCCAAACAGCTGTGGAAGAAGCCCAGGCAGTGGAGATGTCTGATAAATCTATCACGGACATACACCGGTTTCAAACCGAAATGAGTCAGCCTGCAGCCATTCATTTCCAGGAAGTAAATTCTGATGAGGCCACAGATGATGAGGCAGATGTCAGCCGCCTCCGGGCATCTGCCCCCCGTCCAAAGGGACTGACCGGAAAAAAGAATCCACCAGCATTGTGCCTCAGTTGTGGAGATGATCACCCCTGCTCCACTTGTCGTTTCCGCACGGCCACCTGCCGCCGTTGTGGGAAGCAAGGATATATCGCATGGGTCTGCCGCTCGGGAAATCAGTCTACTACTGGCCGAAAGTATAACCGTGCTTTTGGCGGATCAACTCCAATTAACAAAGATTGTTTTGCCATTACCCGCAGCCGCCGGGTCACTGAAGTGACTGCACATCCCAGAAGTCCAGCCCAATCCGCCAAGCTCCTTATGAATGTCAAAATTGAAGGTGCAACCTGCCAGATGGAGGTGGACACCGGATCATCTAAGTCGATCATTTCCTGGTCCACCATGAAGAAACTGCTGCCCAACCTGCGGAAAAGCAGCCTACGGCCCTGCCCCATTCATTTTAGAGATTATCAGGGGAATCACATTCCCATTGTTGGGCATGGCTGATTTTTAGTAGAGAAGGATGGGTTCACTGGCCACCTTCCCTTGATAGTCATAGACGGAGCCCTCCCCAGTCTTTTAGGGTTGGATTGGTTTGGCTCTCTGGGGTTGGGTATTACTGGGATCCACTCCACAGCCATGGCAGATATTGACGCACTTTACACTGAGTTTGCTGATGTGTTCAACAAATCCCTGGGTAAATATGTTGAGTCCCTGATCTCCCTAAATCTAGACCCTCAGGTAGCCCCTATTAGGCTCAAGCCCCGGCGTGTCCCATTTGCCTTGCGCCCAAAGGTGGACGCAGAATTAGACAAGTTTATTAGCCAAGGGGTGTTAGAACCTACTGACCACTCCTGATGGGAGACCCCAATAGTAATTCCTATAAAACCAGATGGCTCGATTCGTATCTGTGGCGATTTTAAATGTACACTAAATAAGGCGTTACAAGCCCATCCCTACCCTGTACCAGTAATTCAGCATTTGCTCCATTCCCTAGGGCCGGGTTCAATTTTTGCTAAGCTGGATTTAGCCCAGGCTTACCAGCAGCTCCTGGTGGATGATGCATCGGCGGAGGCTCAAACAATTGTGACACACCGGGGAGCCTTTAAATGCCGACGTCTACAGTTTGGCATTAGCATAGCCCCAGGTCTTTTCCAAAATTTAATGGAGCGTTTATTACATGGCCTGCCTGGAGTCATCCCCTATTTCGATGATGTGCTCATCTCCGCTTCTTGCCGGAATGAGCTCATTGATCGTGTTTGGTCTGTCTTATTACATTTTAGGAAGTCTGGTCTTAAATTAAAGAAAACTAAATGTGCAATTGGTGTCCCCAGGGTGGAATTCCTAGGCTACCTGGTGGATGCCTCTGGAATTCACCCTACCCCTTCCAAGGTGGCCGCTATTAAACTTGCTTCTATGCCCACCTGTAAATCTGATTTACAGGCTTTCCTGGGCCTTTTAAATTTCTATAGTGTATTCTTGCCACATAAGGCTACGGTGGCTGAGCCTCTTCACAGATTGCTGGATAAATCCGCACCTTGGTCCTGGGGGGCTAAGGAATCCCGTTCTTTCCAGGCTGTGAAAGACTTGCTCACCTCTTCAGCTGTCCTAGTGCAGTATAATCCAGACCTTCCCCTTGTCCTGACAGCTGATGCGTCCCCGTTCGGCATAGGGGCTGAATTGAGCTATAGGCTCCCAAATGGGTTGGAACCTCTGATTGAGTTCTACTCGAGGACGTTGTCCTCTACGGAACGCAATTACAACCAGTTGGACCGGGAGGCATTAGCGGCTGTGGCCTCAATCAAACGTTTCCATGATTATGTGTATGGTCAACCGTTTGAGTTGGTGATGGACCATCAGCCACTATTGGGTCTGTTGGCTGGGGACCGGCAAACTCCTCTAATTCTGTCACCCCGGATGTCCCATTGGGCGGTCTTTTTAGCAGCCTATTCGTATACCTTAGTTTACTGCCCCAGGAAATTGATACCGCACGCAGACGCTCTCAGCCGTTGCCCTTTGCCCATCTCTATCCTCGATCCCGCCCCAGCCCCCACCGTTCTCTTAATAGATGAGCTTAACCCCTTCTTAATAGCTACAGACATCGCCGTTCATTCGCGGAAGGACCCCCTGTTCGCCCAAGTCATTGACTGTGTGACAAGAGGATGGCCTGTAGGGAAGGTGACCGAGCCTTATGTATCCTTTCGGATTCGGCAGCATGAATTGTCAGTCCAACGTGGTTGTTTGCTCTGGGGGAGTAGGGTGGTGATTCCCATCAAATTGCGACCCTCGGTTCTCAAGATGTTGCATGAAAGCCATCCTGGTATTATACGAATGAAGGGGTTGAGCCGGAGTTATGTCTGATGGCCGGGGATTGATAAGGACGTCACCAGTTTGGTCACGGAATGTCAAAAGTGTTAGCTATCCAGAGCTTCCACCCCAGCCTCTCCTCCAAGGGAATGGGAAGTTCCCAGGGCCCCATGGTCAAGGATTCATATAGATTTTGTGGGCCCTTATTTGGGCCACACTTTCCTTATAGAAGTGGACGCCTACTCTAGGTGGGTGGAACTGGAAACGATGCCTTCCACCACATCGGAGGCCATTATCAGGGTATTGTGCAGGTTGTTCTCCACACACGGCCTTCTGACATCCTGGTGTTGGATAATGGACCGCAGCTTACATCCGCTGCGTTCCAGTTATTCCTAGCCACTTTAGGTATCCGCCATGCCCAGGTAGCCCCTTTCCATCCGGCCAGGAATGGCCTGGTTGAAAGGGCAGTGAGGTCGGCCAAAGAAGCGTTGGCCAGGTTAGAACCAGTGGGGTGGCAGGAGCGGGTGTCCACCTATCTACTCGCGCAACATATAACCCCTTGCCCATCCACTAACCTAAGCCCTGTGGAACTGCTGATGGGCCATTGTCTATGGACTAGGTTAGACTGGCTGCACCCTTCATACATGCTCTTGGGCCCAAGACATACCGGTGGGGTTTCCAGGACATTCAATGAGGGAGGTCTGGTTTACGCCCGGAACTATGGGGGGATCCACGTTGGTTGCCGGGATAAGTGACCCAAGTAACGGGTCCCTGCTCTTACAGGGTTCAACTCGATGATGGAAGAACCTGGCAGCACCATGTGGACCAATTAAGAGAGCGAGCTACAACTAGTCTGCAGCCGATTGCGAGAGATGTACCGCGCCTGCCCCCGGAGAGATCTCCATTGTTTCTGAGGTCTGTTGCCGATCCTCCGCCCACCATAACAAACAACCCGCTGTTGGACTTATCTGGAGAAGTTACTCCTGCTGAATCCACGGTGGAAACCTCGCCTGACCCACCTACGGATCAGGAATCTGCGCCGCAAGCAGTTCCTACACCACGGCGATCTGAGCGAGTGCGCAGGTGCCCTGCTTACTTGCAGGATTACGCATGCGTCATCCGGGGGGGAGGGGTGTTGCGTCGGCATGTTGCCCTGACAATGGAGCTGCCTCATCCTAATTGGTCACATTATTCCTTTTGTTTAAGTGGGAGTTTCTGCAGTTCCTGATTGGTTAGAGAGATTCTGATAGCAGCTATATAAGAGCTATCAGGCATTTTCTTCTGTTATTGTTGTTATTGGGTTATGTTCGTTACTCAATAAATGATGTTCTCTGCCGCCCGTGTTGCCTCAGTAATTACCACCCTTGCTAATTTAATACTTATTGATAGATCATGTTGATGTACTTGGCAAACCCTAACATTTGCCATCTGCCAATTGTGAATTTTGTTGGAGCCAATATAATGTAGCCGTCACAAGCAATCTTCTGAAGAGTATATTGCAGATCTAGGGCCCTTTATAGGCTTTTGTCATGAATTAGAACTATTGGTATATAAAACTAGAAGTATATGCCTTTCTCTATGAATTGTTTTCTTAAAAGGTACTACTTCTACGTCTTAACTCAGAGAAACAGCAGAGGGATAGCAAAACTGAGGAACAAACAACTCAGGCATATTTGAGAATTGTTGATGATGAAATTTTTAACAAATCTCAGTTTATCCCCAATAAACGTAAGTTCACAAACATAAGCCATGTTGCCAGGCAGTCAGTAATGTAAGAAGGTTAAATGAAAGGAGAAAGATCAAACTCTTCTCCAGCCTGATTCAGCCAATATTTATTTAATGATTTGTTTGGTTGGTTGTCAAATTTAGGAACCACCCATCTCATTCACTACTGCCCAGGGAAGCAGAGAAATAAATCAAGAATGAGAATATTTTCAATATATAGACTTCTGGGGCACTTGATATAGAAGTAAATGCTAGATGCCTCATGCAGCCAAATCTAACTTTTTCAAAAGATAATTAGGCTTTACCACCAGGATATTTAAAATGTTTCTAAAAAGTAGTGACACAACTGTTCACTTTTAAATTTGTGTTGGAAGCACTAAGGCGGTTCTGCATTGAAAGGATTAGCCAGTTACATCACTGTTGCCCGGGAGATGCCTGGTTGGGAGCTCCTTTCAAGGCCCACCGAAGTAATACCTATCTATCTACTTGTGAATGCAGGCTTTCTAACTGCTAGATGAGCAGGAGTTGGAGTGAATGATGAGAGCTCACCCATCACACAGCAGCACTCGGGTCTCAAACATGGTTGATTGTCAACCCAGCATCTTAACCACATGAGCTACCGCACTCCCACACACAACTTTTAAAAAACTACAGGTAAAACATGATTTTGAAAAAGAGCTTTAAAGTAGGAGTAAGAACAGCTCACAAAGCCTTGAAAAGTTTTTCTTTAGAGTTTATAATAATCCTAAACAAGACAAGGAAGGGGAGTATTTAAATAAACCCAGAAAGACTTAGTAAGGTTCATGATATAATTTTCAAAAGATTATTGAAAAATACATTTCAGATAGAATGGGATGGGATGGGATCATAGGAAGTGTGCAAGTGGTAACCTAATATATATTATGAATATGTCTGCCCCCAATTCTGCTGTGATCATACTATAAAAGTTTCCCAGAAAGCTGGATCATCATAATCCTAATAATGAATCAAAATGGTTTTGAGCTAAACTAATCAGTCATAGTGTAATTTCTATTTTTATGGGCCACATTGACTCAAAGAAAAGATAAGATGATATTATGTACATTCCCTTCACAAAGCAATAAATCAGCCAATAATTTATATGCTGTCAGTACGTTTGCTACAAATGTAAAACTTGTTTCCTGGATATTGCTATGTAAGATGTTCTATTAGGCAATTTGAAGAAAATTAAGTTGTATCACAGGCTGCAACATCATCATATACATTTATAGCAATCAGCAGCTACCGGTATATTCTTTTTAAGACTCGGAGGACTCTGTCATGTATTCTAAAAGGAAAGGGAACCTTTATGGCTAGAAAATCAACTAGCGTTAAATTAAAAACAAATCATCTTCTGATTAATTCTTGCCTTGCTTGAAAATGTCAAATGCATTCCCCACCCATTTCCATCTAATAAAATAAATTCCAGCCACTGAGTAGAACTTCTGACCATGTTTATTCAGAAGCTTTCTATACTCCAGGTTCATTACCTGAAGGCAGAAATAAACCCTATTTGCTATATCCCCACTTGCATCTAACCAGACTGCAAATATGTTCTGGCAACACTTCCCCCCACCCCTTGCAATGTCTGCAGGATATTGCCTTCCTCTTGTTCACAGATCAAAACTGAGACAGACTTAAATCATCCTTTGCTGATCCCCTGCAACCTGCCACCCCATGAATGATGCTATGGGGAGCTTTACCATAGGCCACTGACTGCAGACTCATTTGCCTCCTGCAGGAAGGAAAGTGAACCTTCAGCCACCACTCTGTGGGGAAGAGGGGGTCTGTTTGGGGCCAGAATGTCTGCTTTTCCTCCCTTTAGTGGGGAGAGAATGACTTCCTGCTGCCAGTGCCCTGATCACTCTCGTATTAGGACTGGAGATCTGACAGCAGAGGTCCTAGAGAAGCCCTCCGTTGCTTTGTTGTTGACTCAAAAGAGATTTGAGGAGGGTGGGGCATAAGTCCTGATAGGCAGGAGAGTGACTACAGGGGATAATACCTTGGGGCACCTTTGGACAATGTTGAAAGAGGGGCAAAAATGCTAATTTAACAACTAAGGACAATTTAAGATTGTCTTACTCATAGGCTGGGGATAAAATGGAGATGATATTCCAAGAGCTTAGCAGAAAAAGGATCACATCATGTTTTGGTACCATGATGAGATCCAAGTGGGGAAAGGCCCTTGGTGTGCAGGCTGAAGGTTAAAACAGCCTCTGACATGCATCAAATCTCTCTTTCTCCCTTTCTGCCTTTCCCTTCTCTTCTAAAGGAAACAGGAGTCCTATGTGTCTATCACCACCTCCCAAGATGTGTCAGGCCTGGAAGCCATGTTCTGCATTGGACCTTCAGACCTGCCACATTTACTACTGTGGGAAATTGGGAGGGAGGATTATATGGAGCATGGGTGATATATAGTCATAATAACATTCCTTTCTCAGAGAGTCAAGGTCATCTTGCCCTGCCCCTGGAAGGCTGGAAATGGGAGGCATCTCCAGTTGGGGCGGTGCTTTGATTGGACCATGTGATGGACTTGTGGGTGTTGGGCAGGGACTTGCACTTTCCCTTGGGGGGGGAAAACTGGAAACTTTCAGATTCGGGTTTTCCCAGATATGTCAATATGACATCTCTAATAAAATGTAACTTTGAGGAAACTCAAGCCTCAGAGTTTTCTTTCATTGGGGGTGTTACTTGGAACACTGACAAGATGTATAAAGAGATCGCTCTGTTCTCATAATCTCTGATGAATAGCATTTTTTACGCCAAGAGGGAATTCAACTTCAAATGGTAGGGAGTTATCTAATATATAGTACTTAAAAAAGGAAGAAGAAAGAGAGAGAGACAGCAACATAGGTATTCCTCGATTTATGGCCACAATTAAGCCCAAAATGTCTGTTGTTAAGTGAGACATTTGTTAAGTGAGTTTTGCCCCATTTTACGATCTTTCTTGTCCCAGTTATTAAATCAATGACTGCAGTTGTTAAATGAGTGACATGGTTGTTAAGTGAACCTGGCTTCCTCATTGATTTTGCTTGCCGGAAGGTTGCAAAAGGGGATCACATGACTTTGAGACACAGCAATGGTCATAAGTATGAACCAGTTGCCAAGCATCTGAATTTTGATCGCATGACCATGGGGATGCTGCAACAGTAGTAGGTGTGAAAAACGGTCACAAGTCACTTTTTTCAGTGCCATTGTAACCTTGAACCTTCAGTGTTGTTGTCACTAAATGAGCTGTTGTAAGTCGAGGACTACCTGTATCTTTTTTTTTCTCCTGATCTTGTATGTGGTCATTTGTGCATGAGTAACCTCTGCCTTAAGGAGGTTACTTACAACAACTCTGTGTATTGTACCCATTTTCTGTTTATATGACAGAAAATGCCATATCAGCTTAAGTGGATCTCCAGGTATAATGCCAATGAAAAATGGCAACCTAAGTATTTCGGAAACATTATATACAGATGATGCATCATCTCTACAGCCGAGAATTAATCCAGCAAGAGAAAAACAAACACTATATTCAAACACTGGCCCTCATTACTCTGAAATAATTACAGATTGTAAGTGTGCTGAGCAGCTGTTCTTTGCTCACTAGGAGTAATAACAATATAATCTTCAGGTCCTTAAAGGATGCTGCCTAGTGGGTTTAGGAAGTAGTGGACCCCAGGACACTTCAACCATCATAAATACTGTATGTATCAGTTGCCAAGAATCCAAATTTTGATCACGTGACCACAGGGATGCTGCAGTGGTCATAAAAGTGAAAAACAATCATAAGTCACTTTTTTTCAGTCCCATTGTAAGTAAGTTCAAACGGTCACTAATCAAACTGTTGAAAGTTGAGAACTAACTTTCTCTATTTCGTTGTGACTTCTGTGGCTTCAGAGTCTTTCCCTTCACTTCCCGTAGCTTAGTCTTAAGAATTCTAGGCAGCTGCTGGTTGGAAAACTGACCATAGTTATCAGCGGTAGGTTCTACTTACCTTTACTACCGGTTCGCAGCGGGGCCGCGCGCATGCACAGAAACGTTTTGGTGATGTCAGGGTCAGTGAGCGGGGCCTCCCACCAGTTTTACTACCGGTTCTATAGAACCGGTGCGAACCGGGGGCAACCCACCACTGATAATTATTTCACAATGCAAAATATTTTGCAATACCACTCACATTTCTGGGCTGAAAGTCCAAGCACAGTCATGTATTAATATGTATCTACAGCCATCACTGCACTTAAGTTAAGTGAAGGGAATAGATAATCATTTTTAGATGGAATAATTCAGAATTAGATTCTCCTTTGCATTTAGATAAAATCCCAAGAGCACTGGATGTGCTGTTCGCTTTCATTAAAATCACTGTAAGAATGGCTTTATTTTCAACTCTGCTTTTAGTATTTTAGAAGATAAAGGATAGAGAGGCATCATGGTAGTTCAAACTGGAATTTTTTTAAAGGAACATAAAGTTCTCTTTCTAATGACTGTAAGTAAAATTAATTAACGAAAACATTTTGCCCTTGTTCCTCATCTTAAAAGTGAATTAAAAATATAAAACATTAGTACCTGTTTTTGAGCTTACATTCAGAAAGGAACAAGAAGAGAGGAGGGAAGGCCACCAGCACAATGCTGGTAAGTTTTTGCTGACCAAATGGTTGGTAAAATACCTATTATTAGGCAGATTGTATTCAGGTCTGCCTTTGTGTTCCTGCCTCTTTCTTTTCTTTCTTTCCTTGAGTTGTTTTTCTTTTTGTTTTCCGTTCCTGGCACCAAGGTTACTTTAGGGAGTGTTTTCACTCCTCCCCCAACCTCAGAAACTTTTTTGCACCAGCCCACAAATGCCCTCATTTGTCTGACTGTCCTACCAGCCCTCAATCCCTCTGAGCCTATCAGCAATTCTTCCAACTGACTAACAGACATGTGAAAAAGTTTGTCCCCAGTCTGCCCCCTTCCCTTCCTTGTAGTTGCTCCATTGTGCCTGTTTTCAAAGCAAAAGGAACAACTGGAACTAATTGCTCAGTTTGAACAACATGCTCAAATGATGATGAGGTGCCATCCTGCCATGATTTCCACAGGGAGGGAGCAGAGCCAGGGAGCTGAATAGTGAGACAAGGGAAGAGAATGGCAGTTCTTGGGAAATTGCCTGCTTCACATTAACGTTACCAAGCTATCTTTGCAATAGTTCTTCCTGTGCTTAGCTGGGCCAGATGCTAACTGGTTTAGATACAGAACTGCTGCTGAAGAGCACTTCAGTCATGGGAAAACAGTGACACAATGATGAGTGAGGACAGACACAAAGGTCATGTGTAGAGGGGATCTTACTGCATTCTTTCCCCATCTCCCCAGAGTTAGAAGGTTTTGTGTAGACTACTGGGAAAGATCTGCATGAAAGGCTGCTGAATGAAAACAACTCATTAAACTGTATGCTTCATCTCTCCTTTCCTCCCCAGATTTGCAATCTGTTCAAGCCAAAAATAATATTGTATTGAGTGCAGAAGAGGCAGACATTTTGAGCAAAGAACTTGTGCTAGCATACAAAAATATTGCAATCTTCTAGGCCAGGGGTCGGCAATTTTAAACATTCAAAGAGCCATTTGGACCTGTTTCACACAGAAAAGAAAACACCGGGAGCCACAAAACCCTTCCCATGCCTGACTATTTCCTGAGCAGCACAAAACTAGCATATGTAGTTGAATTAAATGTTCTGCTTTCTTCTGAAACTTTTCTTTTCTTGGATTTATCCATTGTTGGGGTCGAAAAGCTCAATAAATCCCTGCCAGCGGGTGTCGCACATTGGCGGTTGTGACGCATATTTTGAGCGACAGGGAGCCACAGCAGAAGGATGAAAGAGCCACATGCAGCTCCAGAGCCGTGGGTTGCTGACCCCTGTTCTAGACTGCTAGAAATGGTGGAATTGTAGGCCCTGCCATGTCTTGCCATCTCTATCTCCAATCCCATTTAAAAATGTATATGCTCTTCCTTTTAATTTGATCAAAATTGTCTAGCCTGTTTTGGCCACTTTTTATGGAATACAGAAGACTTTTTTCCAGTTATAAGTCCATCATTTTTTTCTTGTTTCTTTTCCCCCACAAGCAAAACCTACAAAATCTTCTTGTAGTTGTTGACTGTTTTTCTTTGTTCTGTTAAGTCACACATATATTCCATGTTCGTAACAGTCTTCCTTATTATTCTGTGCCAAGCACACCCAATCACTAGCCTCTCTTTGATAAAGAGAGGCTAGGTATGCCTGATGAGTCCCAAAACAAGGACTAAACTGATCACACGATGCTTCCTAGAGGTCAGTAGCAACTGAAGAGTGAGTAGGCTTTTTACCACTTCCACTTAGCCATTGAACTAACATGTCCTGGCAACATCATTTTTCTGCTATTTTTTTCATGATATGCCTTCATCTCTGGCCTAGCTTATGATTGAGACAGGTGCATGAACGTGAGTCCTCAATTATATTGCTATTAAATAGCATTTTTCCATGTATTGTCCATGGAGATTCTCATTCGTCCAGTCATGGTTGTCCCAAAGGTGCTTTTTCAAGAGGCAACTGGACTTTCTTGTTTTTTATGAAGAAGTTTTGCTTCTCATCCAAGAAGCTTCTTCAGCTCTTTTCCATGTATTCCAACAGAGTCCGTGGGCATCTTTATTGTCTAAAATCGCTTACATTGTCAACAATTATTTTGGAAGTAAGTCAGATGACTGGCAACAGAGGCAGGATAGGACGGGCAATGGCAGCGGCCTAGTTTGTGTTCATCTAGTTTTCTGACTACTCAAGTTGCTCTCTTGACTGGAGAGGACTTCAGCTCAGCAGCAGGGAAAGGCCCTGGAAAGGTATGACTTGTTATCTATGCATAACAAGTCAGCAACATTCTTAGATAGTTGCTAAGGCTTCAGAGTCCCAATAGCATCAGCCACCGCATTCCATCACATTGAAGAGGAACAGCAAGAGCATAGATGTTCACAGCATTCCACAAAGCCTTGAGGTGCTAAGAGGATCTGCCATGGAGCTCACTCACATTGCGGCATACTTTTGGTCCCCCAAATTTAGCTCTATTATCCCCTTCTCATCTCTTTCAAACTAAAGCATGATTAATAGAAAGGCAACTTTAAAACTAAAAATACACCATCCAGGGCAAGAATTGGGGGTGTTCTTGAACAGTAGGACATGTTTAGCATTTTGAGTTGATGTGGTTCTTTCACAAAACAACTGTAACAACTGGGTTGCCAATTTGCAAAATGGTTATTGCAATGTGCACACCCAATCACTTCAACCATTGATCAATAGAGAAACTAAAAAAAAAATGCTGTCCCCTGCTATTACATCTATCCTTCCCTGGTCCTTCTTAACCCTTACAATTGGGCAGTGAGCATATATGCAAAAAAAAAAAAAAAAAAAGACTGGGTTGCATCCAACCAGTATTTTTAACCTTTGAAGCATTCTTGTAAATAAAAAGCAATGCTAGAGAAAGATGTCATGCATGTCCATTTCATATTTTAAAATAATTAATATTTTTAATTAAATCAGGTTAGAAAATCAAAGTGATTGCTGGATACCTAGAATGCTGCAATGCCTACCGTTGTCCCAGGCATTAAGAACGCAGGTATTAGGGAGAAATAAATTATACAATGGGAACTGTATTTATTTATTTATTTATTTATTTATTTATTTATTTATTTATTATTATTATTATTATTATTATTATTATTATTATTATTTATTTATTTATTTATTTATTTATTTATTTATTTATTATTCATATTTCTATGCCGCCCAACTCTCTGAGGACTCTGGGCGGCTTACAACAAGAACAGTGTGAATAATATCCAAGTAAAAAACGTTAAAAGAAACCCGCATACACACTGCTCATGGCCGGATCTCGCAAGATCGCAGTGGCGAGATCAACGGCCCCAAGCCTGCCTGAAAAGCCAGGTTTTCACCATTTTCCGGAAGGCCAGTAGGGTGGGAGCGGTCCGGGCCTCAGGAGGTAGCTGATTCCAGAGAGCCAGGGCAGCCACAGAGAAGGCCCTCCCCCGCGGACCCGCCAGCCGACATTGTTTAGCTGACGGGACCCAGAGGAGGCCAACTCTGTGGACTCTTACCGGTTGCTGGGAGCTATGCGGTAGAAGACGGTATCGAAGATAGCCTGGCCTTAAGCCATATAGGGCTTTAAAGGTAATAACCAACACCTTGAATTGTGACCAGAGACTGATAGGAAGCCAGTACAGCTCACAAAAGATTGGTGTAATGTGGGAGTACTTAGGTGCACCCACAACAGCTTGAGCGGCTGCATTCTGGACCAACTGCAGTCTCCGAATACTTTTCAAGGGTAGCCTCATGTAGAGCGCATTGCAATAATCCAACCGTGAGGTGACAAGGGCATGAGTGACTGTGAGAAGAGCTTCCCAATCCAAGTAGGGTCGTAATTGGTGTACAAGCGAACCTGTACAAAGGTCCCCTTAGCCACAGCTGCCAGGTGTTGCTCTAATCTCAGCTGTTGGTCAAGGAGGACACCCAAATTGCGAACCCATTCTGAGGGGGATAGCTTCTCCCCCCCCCCCGGCTAAGGATGGACAATCTACATGGTCCTTGGGAGGCAATACCCACAGCCACTCAGTCTTGTCTGGGTTAAGTCTGAGCCTGTTGACTCCCATCCAGACTCTCACAGCCTCCAGGCACTGGCACATCACATCCACTGCTTCACTGAAATGATGCGGGGTGGAAATATACAGCTGGGTATCATCGGCATACTGCTGATATCCCACCCCATATCATCGGATGATCTCCCCCAGTGGTTTCATGTAGATGTTGAATAGAAGGGGAAAAAGGACCGAGCCCTGAGGCACCCCACAAATGAGGGGCCTAGGGGTCAAGTTCTGTCCTCCTATCAACACCAACTGTGACCGACCAGAGAGATAAGAGGAGAACCACCGTAACACGGTGCCTCCCACTCCCAACTCCCTTAGTCGGCCTAGTAGGATACCATGGTGGATGGTATAGAAAGCTGCTGAGAGGTCAAGTAGCACCACGATAGAGGAATGACCCCCATCACGGGCTGTAACAAAATCCTTCAATGGATTTCCCTTATCCAGAGTTCTAGCTATATAAGTATAGTAATATAAAAATAAAGTAGAGGTAAAGATTTCCCCTGTCCAGTTGTGTCTGACTCTAGGGGGCAATGCTCATTAGCTGAGGGAGTCAGCGTTGGCCAAAAACATTTCCATGGTCATGTGGCCAGTATGACTATATGCCGAAGTGCATGGAATACTGTTTCCTTCCATTGAAGTGGTAGCTATTTATCTGCTTCCATTTGCCTGCTTTTGAACTGCTAGTTGGCGGAACAGCGGCAGGAATTCCCATGGCACTTGGGTCTTGAACTGCCAATCTTCTGGTTGACAAGTCCAGCATCTTAATTGTTAGGCCACCTTTTAAGCAGCTGCAGTGGCGCAGTGGTTAGAAGCCAGTACTGCAGGCTACTTCTGCTGACTGCTGGCTGACTGCAATTTGGCAAATCGAATCTCACCAGGCTCAAGGTTGACTCAGCCTTCGATCTTTCTGAGGTCGGTAAAATGAGGAGCCAGATTGTTGGGGGCAATTTGTTGGGGGCAATATGCTGATTGTAAACCACTTAGAGAGGGCAGTAAAGCACTGTGAAGTGGTATATAAGTCTAAGTGCTATTGCTATTGCTATTAATATAGAAATACAGAGGACTTTATGCAAACAAAATCAAAAGGTTTTTTTTGTTTGTTTGTTTCTGGTTTTTTTCAGGAAGAAGCCGATACCACACATCACACTTCCATTCTTCCATTTTTCAAAAACTAAAACTTTTTTCTGTATTTTCCAAAGAAGATATATAATATTGGTTTCCTGTCTTTATCCACTCTAATAAAAAATAATGACTCAAAAGTTGTATATAGATATCTAATAAATATAAATAATTCAGTCCCAGAGCCATAAGGGATAATGACTAACAAACAAAAGGACTTGTCTAGCAACCCTCCAAGGAGTCCTAGCTTCAAATGAGCAGCAGGTATATTAAGCTGAAATGAACCAACTTTGTTGAGTCAGCTCATAAGTAGAGCAGTTAGTTCTAGAAACACATTGCAAGAATTGAAACATAAGATGATCCTAGCAACATTCAATTAAGTTGGAATACATCAGCTAGCAATGCCAATTTAGGGAGTGTAACATCGATTTGGATGAGTTAACTGTATCGGAAGAATACTCTCAGTCTCACTATCAGCATATATCGTATACATAAAATATTTTAAAATAGCAAGCTGAATTCCTCCGCTTCCCTGTTCTTCATACTTTGTGGTAAGTTGATTGGTTTAATGAGATGTATACTACAGCAATATGATAGATTATTTTTTTTAATCTTTATTACTGTAAAGTAGTAACTATCTTTGGGATGTACAAAATATTCTAGAATCAAAGGATGTCGAAGTTAAAATACCTTGTTTCTAATTTGAAATGGTTGTTTCACATGTGCAAACTTACAACATTCTGATAATACTCAATTTTATTTATTATATTCACAGCACACCTTTTGTAAAATAGCTTAAGGTAGAATCCATTGTACTCTTTCCTATTTTTGCCCAATGTGACAACTCTGAGAAGTTGGTTAGTTTGAGAGAGGATGACTGTTGTAGAATGATCCCTAGGATCAGGAAATTAGATTCCTAAACCAACATCTTATCAATGGTTTTCTCATCTGAAAGACAGGAGACTTCAAAATAAAACATTACTAGTTCACAACAATTCAGTTCAATTCAAATGTAGCTCATAATAGAGATTTTCAATGTGCTAATCAGCAATTATATTTAAATGATTAAACCCAAAGCCTTACTGAAAAGGGCCAGGCTACAAAGCATTGTTTTAAGTTAGCTTACATGAACAAATAGACAAATATTTATTTGACTGAGAGTCAGAATAATAGGGAGAAAAAGTTTTGCCCTGAGCCCAAATCTATAAATATGGAGTCTTTGGGGAAGTTCTTCCATAAGAAAGTGTCATAATCAAAATGCTTGACCAGGCTTTGGCATGTTTGTCAATAAATAAAGTAACACATGACAGAATGTTTGATGGCACTTTATTTTTTCTATTTCACATTTTTTACTGTTTTTTAAAAATATTTTTTAAAATTATTTTTTCTTTAAAAACAAGAACAGAAACAAACACAAAACATAAATTTCCATTTAAAACAGTTTCATATCGGTCTTCTTTTAAAATTCACGTTTTTCCCCTCCCCATCTTTACAAATATTTATATTTGTGGTTCCCTTGTTCCTTACTTATGTATATATATATTTTATCTGTTATACATATTATTGTATCTATATATTACTTTACATATAGTGTCTGTGTAGTGGCACATTTTTTACTACTGTTATCTACCATGAATCCATCAGAATTGGTCCAGGATATAATTATACTTAATGACTGTTCAAAGTTATCACGGATCTACCTAGGACAGTGATGGCAAACCTTTTTGGCACCGAGTGCCCAAACCGGAATGCATGTGCATGTGTATGCATGCGGCGTACCAGAGCATCGGAAACCTGAAGACCAGCTGGCTGGCATGCACATGCCTGTTTTTTTGGCCATTTGGGGGGCCATTTTCCAGGCCTTTTTCCGGGCCTTTTTCCGGTTGTTTTCAGGGCCATTTTTAGGCCATTTTCAGGCTGCTTTTTGGGCCAAAAATATGCCCCCAAAACTGTCTGAAAACTGCCTGAAAACAGCCCAAGAAATGGCCCAAGAAACAGCCTGGAAACAGCCTGGAAAAGGCCTCGAAAACCCCCCAAAATGGCCTGATTTTTGGCCATTTTCAGGCTGTTTTCCAGCGCTCTGGTGCTGGCGAAGGCAAGGTGGCCAGCGCGCATGTGCACCTCAGAAGCCAGAAGAGCAGCTGGTGATGGTGCACATGCCCACAGAGAAGGATCTGCGTGCCACCTCTGGCACTCGTGCCATAAGTTCGCCATCACGGACCTAGGAGCTACTCATGACCCATATTCAGTGGTTGCCTCCTCCAGTCACATGACCAAACACTTGGCAACTGGGCTGCATTTATGGCTATTTGCAATGTCCTGTGGTCACTTGATCACATTTTACAATGGTTTTGCAGAAAACTGGCATTTACTTCTAAATTTTGTTTTGCAAGACCATTTCCATAGCGAACCATTGGTTCACTTAAAGACTGTGGCATTCATTTAACAACTGCAGGAGTTGTTAAGTGCTTGACTTATGATCGTGATGGGTAGGCTCCATTATGGTTGTACGTTTAGGACTACCTGTATTGGGAAGGGCTGTGGAAATCAGAATGGTTCTTTTCTTCTAGTCATACCCCTCACATCACTTGGTGGGGAAACCATAGCAGCCAACTAAGACCTTAAGATTTGGGCAGGAAGGAAACAATGATTGCATGGGAGAAAAATTTTGGCCATGGAATTGATTTAGAGAGATGGCAAAAATTGTGGTTGCAAAATTATAAAATGGAAATGTTATCAGATACCGGGCTCATATTACCATATGTAGTGGACATGTGTAGAAGCCAAAAGATATTGGACTAGAATCCACACATGGTTGGAAAAAATGACAAGAAAACACATAGACTTTAAACCAGAGACTTTTTTATTAGGGATTTTGCCAGAAACATATAACAGAGAATTGAAATACCTGATTGTGAATGTATTGACAGCGGCTAGAATTGTGTTCGCTAAAAACTGGAAAAATGAGGAAATACCCAAACAAGCAGAAGTTATTAGGAAAACCATGGCATGTGCTGAAATGAGCAAATTGACATTTGAAATTAGAGAACAGGAAGATAAACAATATTATAAAATATGGGATTTATTTTATCAATGGCTAGATAATAAAAGATGGAAATGAAATATGAAATGGATGTTATAATATAATATATGGAAATGATTTTAATGGGATGAAAATGCCATTGTTAAATGAATGACAAATGAGAATAATAATATGAAGATATACATTAGATTGATAATGTGAGAAATTAGAGAATTAGTAAATTATGAATATGAGATGAAGCACAAAAGTTTTGTAACCGACCGACACACTGCTTGCAATTGTAATGGATGATGGATGTTTTATGTTTTGTTTAAAAATAAAAAACTTAAAAAAAAAAAAGATTTGGGCAGGAACATACCAGGGAAATATAGTTAGGAAAAGGTAATCTCAAAGTGAACTATTCTAGGTTTTAAAGATGAACGCTTAAATTCACACTAGAAACTGAGCGTCTCTGCAGCTAATGCTCTAGTTAAATGGCAGCCAGTTCTAGTTAATCATATGAAGCTGTGTCCATAGACAGTGGCCGAAAAAAAAGCAAATGATGGTGGCCATGATTGCAAGGATGTAGCCATCATCTTGACTTTTTGATCCCCTACCCCAACCATTGCTTGTAAATATGTAGACATATTCTGAATTGCTTAAAGAGACCTATATGTGCAAGGCATTATAATAAAGCATGAGTGATTATAACTAAACCGTCTCTATCCATGGTATATGAGGCAAAGTTCATAAAAGAACTCAATATTCACATAGATCAGGGATTCCAAAACAATAACTCTTCTATCTGCAAACTTGAATGTCTTTAGAGCATGCAGAAGCAACCTATAGTTTGCATGTTCCAAAACATCCCCTGTTTGTGCTCGTCCCCACTTTCATTATTGTTCATATAAATAAGAACCCCTCTTCTTCTCTGGAGAGATCAATATGGAAGAATATTCATTTTGTAGTGCAGAAATTCCTTATGAAGTTCACTGATCTGAGCACTTTGCAGATTTTCATGCAAATAGAGAACTGAGAATTAGCCACTAAACTCTTCATCCTTGCTTTATCATCTACGTGTCAATAGGAACAGAATCAACAATAGCATAAAGCTGGTAATATCAGGCATGGATGAACCTATGAAACAAACATCACAACAAGACAAAAGATAGGACAGGAATCGCTATTAATATTCCCTTTTCTATCCAACTTTTCAAGGTATGGTAACATTCATTTTTTCATATAAAAACTGAAAGGTAAATATTTGCATAGGAATGCATTTACCTATTCAAGCACAAACTATAGCTAGTTTTTAGGGCCCTTTAGAAGTGTTCTTTAAAACAAGTGAGTTTTCTTTGCAATTTTCAAGCAGTAGCAAAAGCACTCGGGTTAATTGAGCAATATCTTCTAGAATATTTTCTAATAAATTCCCTCTTTGTGCTTAGTAAATGCGAGCTTTTTTCTGGAATATACTGTAATGCGTTCGCTAAGCAGTGTAATGGGTTTTTTTGTATCACTTGCCTTTGGTGCCAGTTACTATGCTGGTCCCTTCCCATTTAAAAAGGGGGGGGGGAAAGCCCTTATTTCCCTGTTTTCAGATTGGATTCATTTTAACTCTGAATAGACAGTTTCCCAGATACTGTAAATCACATTATTTTACTGTGACATTGCCAGCTTTGTAAGTTGACTCATAGCTGTACTTTTAACAATAGCCTAGTATTCAGAAAAGTAGCCTCTTCAAACATGGATAGAAAGTGTCAGGGAAAATTCAGCTGTTTTATTAGCTATGTCAGATACATACAGGGAAATAGCAAAATAAAAAATAAGGGGTATCTATTTTCATCTTATCCTAATTAAGCCTGGTAGGTTTCAAATCAAAATTAATTTTGCCAAGCGTAGAGCAAGTTTAGGATTTTCAGATCATGACTCCTCAGTGGTGAGGAAATATATTGAAGATTATCTGTCTATGCACATCTTAAAAATATAGCCGCTCTTTAAGGCTTTAGACAGGATCTTACATTTTGAACTGTTTAATCTCAACCCATTTTTTCCCTCCCTGATTATATATCTTTATTTTATTTCTATTTTATTTTGCTATCAATCCAGAAATATTAAG